TAATTTAAATATATGAGGTAGCCTAATTGATATTTCAGAGTTGTTAAGCTTCACTGAATTATGGCATACAACAACTCTTACTACAACGTTACTACTTAACATCGTTTTTTAATATATAATTCATTTACACATTACACATATAATGTAAACAAACACTTTTATTTTGGATCGTTTGACAGCACAATCATTTGACAGCTCTAATATATCTATATATATATATATATATATAGATATATACAGTTCCTTGCGGAAGTATTCATACCCCTTCATTTTTTTCACGTTTTATGTTGCTGCCTTATTTTTTTCCACATCAATCTATGGCCAAACTCAATCCTCTCTTCAGTGGATACACATGAAAACACACTTGGAATTTGCAAAAAAGCACCTAAAGGACCTTCAGACTGTGAGAAACAATATTCTCTGGTCTAATGAACCTCAATTCCAAACATCATGTTTGAAGGAAACCAGCTCTGCTCATCACCTGCAGAGTACCATCCCAAAAGTAAAGTGTTCTGTTAGCAGCCTCATGCTGTGGGGGTGTTTTTCAGCGGCAGGGACTAGTCAGAGTAGAAGAAAAGCTCAATGCACCAAAATATTGAGATAGCCTTAATGAAAACCTAATCCAGAGCATCCAGAACCTCAGACTGGGCAGAAGGTTCACCTTCCAACAGGACAATGAATCTAAGTACACAGCAAGAGTGGCTTATAGACAACTCTGTGAATGTCCTTGAGTGGCCCAGCCAGAGCCTGAGCTTGAACCCAGTCAAATATTTCTGGAGAAACCTGAAAATGTGCGTCTGCCCTCATCCAACCTGACAGAGCTTGAGAGGTGAAGAGGTGAGGAGAAGAATAGTAGATAATTGCCAAATGCTGATGAACAAACTTGTCGCATCAAACAAAAAAAGACTTGAGGCTGTAAAGGTGCTTCAGCTAAATATTTAGTTAAGGGTATGAATACTTACGCAAGGTACTTATTTCAGGTTTTTTAATTTTTATTAAATTTACAATGTGCCCTCCAGCAATTGAGTTTGACACCCCTGGACTATTATATGGCCTAGTTAAACCAGGGGTGTCCTGGGGGGGTATTCCAGAAAGCAGGTTATGTGACATACCCAGGTATGTTTAAGGGTAAGTAAGCGGATAAACTCAGCTTTCGGTTTCAAAAACGGAGGTTACTCTCAGGGTAAGTAGCCATAGCAACTTAATATTAAGTTATATTATATCAACCTATTATATATGATTACAATATAGTTATCAAATGTACTAATATATATATATATAATATATATATATATATTAGATAGATAGATAGATAGATACAGATTATATGTGGACCAGTTTGTGACTTGTATAAGACTTTTTTTTTGTGTAACACATATTTTAATAGAATGTCCAAATTTTAAATAATACTAGACCACGTTTTTACTGAGAAAATATATTAAAAGACATTTTAAAAAGTTTCTCCTGGAAAAAATGTTTATAATTTTTATCATTGATTAAAAGATTCTATAGGATTCTTATCAGTACTATTGTTGTTTTTTGTTTAGTGATTGCTTCTTAAAGGGATCATAAACTGAACATGAACTGACATGAAGATTTTTTTTTTTTTTAATTGAGTGTTATTGTTGAGTGTTGAAATAAGTGACTTGAATTGAATTAAAGATTTTAACATCAAAAAACATAATTTAGAAGTAATAGGCTATTATTTTTGTTAGTCTTATTTTTGACCCCCCTCATCAAAACGCTCTCTTTGAATAGGCGTGGCAGATTGTAGACTCGGAAGTAAACGCCCTCTGCTATGATTTGCTAACAGTTGTATATGTTTGACAGTCTACACCCTTCACAGATGGACGCTGCTGTGATTTAGGTTAAAAACGCATAAAGTACATAACAAATGATTTATTTAACAGACAAAGCAATAGAGATCACGTAATAAAAACAGTTACTCACACTTGTGTGTTGCTGTCGGATCCAATATAGCCAGCGCAGCATCGTCTTTTAGTTTCAATCTTTTTAAAAATCCCACGTCGAATTGTGCCTTGTTTGTAAACGAATCCGTGGTAAAATGAAGTGAACAAAAGACAGAGTTCTTTCTGACACGGTCTGGAACTTCATTAAAAAAGTTCTTTCACTCGTTCCTAATATTGCGATCAGAAGGAAGGAAATAAAAATACTGTTTTTTCCACAACTTGGCACTGCACAGCATCTTGTTGTCTTCAGAGCCATCTTTATCGTTTGGTTTCTACATAGACCTGCACGTTCACCTCTCTCGTAAACCCCTACATGCACGAATAGGATCCACACTATTACATCATAGAGCAGAACATTCCAAAAGCTGTCGTTTTGACAGACTGCTGTTTTTAGAGTAACGACAAAGTTGAGTTCTGAAAATTACAGGATGTTTTTATGGTACAATGACCACTTATATGTCAAACGATCATGATTCACAAGATTCATGACCCCTTTAAGAAAAGGTTATATTATTGTAAATGGTGTATTGAAATGACAGCCATTGTTACTGATATGGCATTAAAACATAAATACATAATAACATACATACTGGTCATCTTGGTGTTTGTGTATGTGTGTGTTAGGACGGGCATGCTGCACTCAAACCCTGGGGACTACGCCTGGGGACAGGGGGGTCTGGATGCAGTCATCACACAGGTAGCTAAGCAGGGGTTGTGTGTGCACTTTACCTGATCTGTGGCTGTGCAAACAAGCTGATCATCTGAGTTTTTCTCTCACACAGTTATTGGGTCAGTTTGAGAACACGGGTCCTCCTCCTGCTGAGAAAGAGAAAATTTCCTCCCTCCCCACTGTTATCATCACTCAGGAACACACTGGTTAGTCTCTCCTCTCTCTTCCCTTTTCTTTGAAGCTCTTGTTGTTGTTTTCTTCTGGTCTGTCAGAGGCACAGTGTGCCATTTCAGTTATGATTTAAGGCTTTCAGACTCAGTGGGGGTCATTGACCTACCAGTACGAGTCTTGTGTGGTGATGAATTCTAATTCCCATTTGAGGCCGCGCTCGTCTACTGAAATCTCATTATTCTCACCCCCTGCATGCTGTCTCTCTCTCTCTCTCTCCTCGCTTTTCCTAGACTGCAATATGGAGTGCCCTGTATGTAAGGAAGACTACACGGTCGGTGAGCCGGTCAGGCAGCTGCCCTGTAACCACATCTTCCATAGTGACTGCATCGTGCCCTGGCTTGAACTGGTGAGAGAAACAATAGGGATGAAGGAGCCAGACTAAAGGGAGAGAATGGGGAAAAGACATGGGAAAAACATTTAGATATAAGAATCTTTTGAAGTACGGAAAAATGATGAACGGTAATGGAAATATATTACAGAAATATATTCTGAAAGCATTTTATTTTATTTGTGTATAAACATCTGATAAATGTAATTAAGGGGTTGGAGTTGCAGCTCAAAATAAGTGTAAAAACATCTGGAATATTTTTAGGGTTTTTTTTCTTCTTCTCCAAACACACATTTTATTGACTCCGCAATATCCAAGTGATTTGCACAGATGGAATTAACAAAATGTGACCAAGAAAAAAAAAAAAGGATGATTCACTTGATCTTCTTCCTTATAGGCAGCTGTGTATTTTCCAAATTTATTCAATGTTGACTACTGTTCAAAAGTTTGGGGTTGGTAAAAGTTTTTAATTATTTGTTTTTGTCTTAAAGAACTCTGACCAATGCTGTATTTGTTTGATCAAAAATATACTAAAGCAGTCATGTTATGAAAAAATATTACAATTTAAATTGTTTAAAATTTTAGTACATTAAAAAAAAAAAACATTTCTTGTGATTGCAAAACTGAATTTTATACATGCATTACTCTAGTTTTCAGTGTCACACGTTCCTTCAGAAATCATTCTAATATGCTGAGTTGCTGCTCTAGTAACCTTTCTTATTATCAACGTTGAAAATAGTTGTGCTGCTTAATATTTTTGTGGAAAGTGATTTTTTCAGGATTCTTAGATAATCAGAAAGTAAAATAAAAACAAAAAACAGTATTTCTTTGAAATAGTAAAGACATTTATAATGTTTTTATTCTGTTCTCACTGAATAAAAGTTTTTTTTTTTTTTTAAGTACTTACCTCAATTTTTTGAAAAATAATGTAAGTGTGATATTAAAGACAGCGTTGTTTGTTAAATTCAATAATTGGCTCATATATTATTGTTCTGAAGCCAAGACAAATTAAACATTATCTGGAAAATATTTACTTTTGTATTAAGTTGACTGATGGTGCAAGTGTGTTCCCAGATGCAAAGGAATGTTATAAGCAGTAAACGGAGAAATTATGCAGCCTTACAAAAAGTTTTAGCCAAAAAGTCATCATATGTATTCTTTATGAATTCACTGAAACCAACACAGCAGACTGTGTCAGGGGTGAAAAGTAACTATTTTGTTCAGAACCGGAAAGTTTGCATTTTTGTGCTTATTAGATCAAATCATGCTCAGATTTTAGTCACTTATGTTCACTTATGAAAGTTCAGTTTCAGTTTGAACTATATTTTCAAGGTCACGAATCGTCACTGACATACCTTTCTCTCTTCTTCCTCCCTGAAGCACGACACATGTCCTGTGTGCAGGAAGAGCCTCAATGGGGATGAAAGCGGCACTCGGTCCTCATCAGAGCCTTCCTCCCTAAACACTGATCCTCGCACACCGGAGAGATGGTCCTTCTGAAACACACGTCCGGCCGTCTCATCCGAGCTCTCTGTCTTAACCCAAGCTTATTTGTCTCTCTCTGCTTTTTTTTTTTTTGTCTATTCTTTGTGTTCATCCCACCATGCTGGTGTATTTTTACTATGGTTTGTTTACTTCTGTTCTCTAACACCGTCCTTCTCAGTTGTGTCTATCCTAATGTTTCTGTGTCTTTCAGACGTCTTTGATCTCCAGAGTTTTCGCCTAGTTTACCCTTCCCTTTTTCCTTCCCCGAGTGAACAAACAAACAGTGCAGGATGAGGGTAGGGTCGGGCACATATTGTTGCTGTAGCAGCACAACTCCCCAACCCACATTTAGATGGTACAGTGTTCGGTTTCCCAGAGACGAGCTGTACTCCCCGCCTCTTGTCGTTCAATGTGAATTCTCATTGGGATGGGGTGCCGTGTCTTTGCGGTTTATGAACGTTGTTTTACTTCCCCAGGCCTTCTGTTGTTCTCACATCCCTTTTGTCCAGGAGATCATGAAGTTTAGTCTCTCTCTCTCCTTTTTGATTCCAACTCTGGTGTGTGTATATATGACAAACCCATCAATGTCATTCAGTTTAATTTGATTTAGTTCCTTTCACTCTCATTTCTATTACAGTTTCTTCTAATGTAAATAATTTTAGTTGGCAAACTCATTTAAGGAAGACAAAAAAAACGACGATGAATTGCTAAATATTAAAGTATATAAATATATATTATATGATGTGTATGACCATGATGTATTAATAATAAAACTGAATAAAAACAAGGCAACATGTTGATCTTATGATACAGATGAACAACAAATGCATTCAGATCTTCCTATTTGATTTTTGTTGACATAAATATGCGTTCTCAGACGAGATGGCTGTGAGAAGTTGCGTTTATTGCATCATTTTAATTCTTCGTGTGTTTAGTGCAAGGAATTTTATACATCAAGTTTTTCCAGGAATGCTAGCATTACTTGTTAAAACATGACTCAATCACATTATTGCCTTTAAAATTGATAACTGTCCCATAAATCTGACTGCCATGCACCAAAACAGCTTATCAAGCGAGATGGATAGATTATAAACCACCGTTGAATCTAGTGAAATGATTTCTTTGTAATCGTGGTTGCTGCAGTCATTTGAAATGGTTTGAGTTACTCGATAAGGTGCATATGTGGCTTATTGACGCGGTGTTTGGTACAGCCGTTCAGCGTCTGCTCCACAGTAGTGTGAGGATTGAGTGAGGTGGAGCACTTCCTGGCAGAAAGCCCAGCGTTTGATCCCAAACTTCAAACTGCACCTCTTCTTCAGACCTGCAATTTCATAACATGTTATATACAGGTGCATCTCAATAAATTAGAATGCCGTGGAAAAGTTCATTTATTTCAGTAATTCAACTCAAATTGTGAAACTTGTGTATTAAATAAATTCAATGCACACAGACTGAAGTAGTTTAAGTCTTTGGTTCTTTTAATTGTGATGATTTTGGCTCACATTTAACAAAAACCCACCAATTCACAACAAATTAGAATACTTCATAAGAACTTCATACTTCAATAAAAAAAACATTTTTAGTGAATAGTTGGCCTTCTGGAAAGTATGTTCAGTTACTGTACATGTACTCAATACTTGGTAGGGGCTCCATTTGCTTTAATTACTGAACTTTTCCACAACATTCTAATTTATTGAGATGCACCTGTACACCTGAAATGATGCAACAACACCATTTGAGTGTAAATGATCACATTCTTTTACCTGTTGAGAATGATTAGCACGGCTGAGGCATCAGGTCTGATATAGGCAGAAATGTCCAGGCTGGTGTGCTGACTGAAGGACACGCCCACTCTCTGTGACCCCTCCCACAGGAACTTGCTGTCAGGTACAAAAAGTTACTCAATGCTCAGCTAAGTCAAAGTTCTACATATTGTATTGAAGAATGCTGTATTTGTATTATATAACTAAGATTTATGAAATGTGTAGTTTTACACAACCCAAGTATGATGGAAAAAAAGTCAACTTGCTTACCTATGTTTACAATTAAATTACAGAAATAGCTGTTTAGCAGTAAACATGTATGCTAGTGAAAGCTATATTTAATCTTTAGAAACCATTTTTGTCCAAGAGCTGAATCTTGTCACTGTTAACGGTGCCTTGAACGGGTTTTACCTGAAGTGGGCCATGCTGTAGAAGGTGGGCTGCTTGTAGAAGACGTCTTTACTTGAGTCCACAATAATAGGGCTGTCCACAAAGTTCTTAACCCAATTTGGCCCTCCATCCTGATTAAGGGTCAAGTTCCAGTCTGTCCAGCCAGTCACAAAGTTATTCAGGTCCTAAATAAAGAGAAGGGACATTATATAATCATTTTTAAATAATTACATAAAACATTTTCTATACATTATATTGCAACCACTTTGTATATAAGTGGCAGTGCACAAAAATATAGTGTATATTAATGGCCCCACAAAATTTTGCCTGTACATTTTTCTAGAAAATATATTTTAGAATCCTTTCTAAAGGAAACAAAAGAGATGAGGGGGAAAAGGCTTATATATATAATTAAATATTAAATAAATATAATATGAATTAATAATTTTAAATATTTATAAATAACATTAAATATGAATAAACTCCACATGTAAGCCTTTATTAAATAATGATAATAATATATTTGATATGTATAATATATACATTATACATATAATATATATATGTATATTTCCTTCTGAATATAAGCCCTTAAAATCAACACCATTATTATGCAGTATTTTTTTTTTCTTTTTCCAAATACATTTTTACATGGTTCTGTGGAATACTTGATTTTGATTGGTCTGTTACTACATTTGGAGGTGTGTTATTTCCCAATAACAACCTTTGTCAATAGCAACGGCGAATAACATACAGCTCATCCGGGTATCACAGACTCACTCTCTTGTTTCATTTAAACACAGCTGCTTCCATCTTGCATCTCTGTTATTGTTGTCAATAACATAATAAACAGGTAAGACTTTAAAAAAGTTACAAATCAGTATCTCTTGTCCCCATGTGGTGAGAAGCTGTGTAATAAGTGGTATGACTGTACCTTATCCCTCAAATGTTCGTCTAGTTTGAACTTGTTCATTTGTGTAGGCAAAAAGCCACTTACTACGAACTGTTTTCTTCACGGAAGCTTTGTGTTTTATTTCAACTCAAATGAATATTTTGTGTCCAATTATTTACTTATGTGGGAAGTAGCCGTGTAATAAGTGGGATAATGTACATCCACCTGGGTGTTATTGCAAAATAAATCCCTTCAGGGCGATACAAGATCACCTTGTCGGGGTCTATTCCACAATAACAACTGGCTAGATATACTGTACATTATCCCTTAAATATTTAATTTTATTTACATATATTGTTATTATACAGTGGTGGTACTCTCAGTGCTGGGTTGCGGCAGGAAGGGCATCCGGCGTAAAACATGTGCCAAATCAGTTGTGCGGATCACTCCGCTGTGGCGACCCCTGATAAAAAGGGAGCAAGCCGAAGGAAGAGAGAGTTATTATACAGTGGTGGCCAAAATTGTTAGAACACCTCACAGATCTGATATACAGTGGGTACGGAAAGTATTCAGACCCCCTTAAATTTTTCACTCTTTGTTATATTGCAGCCATTTGCTAAAATCATTTAAGTTAATTTTTTTTCCTCATTAATGTACACACAGCACCCCATATTGACAGAAAAACACAGAATTGTTGACATCTTTGCAGATTTATTAAAAAAGAAAAACTGAAAAATGCTCAGTATTTAGTAGAAGCACCCATTTGATCTAATACAGCCATGAGTCTTTGGGAAAGATGCAACAAGTTTTTCACACATGGATTTGGGGATCCTCTGCCATTCCTCCTTGCAGATCCTCTCCAGTTCTATCAGGTTGGATGGTAAACGTTGGTGGACAGCCATTTTTAGGTCTCTCCAGAGATGCTCAATTGGGTTTAAGTCAGGGCTCTGGCTGGGCCATTCAAGAACAGTCACAGAGTTGTTGAGAAGCCACTCCTTCGTTATTTTAGCTGTGTGCTTAGGGTCATTGTCTTGTTGGAAGGTAAACCTTAGTTCCAGTCTGAGGTCCTGAGCACTCTGGAGAAGGTTTTCGCCCAGGATATCCCTGTACTTGGCCGCATTCATCTTTCCCTCGATTGCAACCAGTCGTCCTGTCCCTGCAGCTGAAAAACACCCCCACAGCATGATGCTGCCACCACCATGCTTCACTGTTGGGACTGTATTGGACAGGTGACAAAGAGTGAAAAATTTAAGGGGGTCTGAATACTTTCCGTACCCACTGTATATAAAATATTGACCTTTTTTGCCTCCAAAACATGATTTAATTTCATAATGTTCATGAAACATGCAGATGGTTGCTCTGAGAACAACAAATATCAGATGAAGGGAGTCGTACTGTTTTTATCCACTTTTAACTTTAATATTTTGGTATGTCCACCTTTTGCAGCAATTACAGCAGCACATGTCTCTGGCATAGTGTCAGTATATTTCCTGAGAACTTCAACACTAATGTTTGCCCATGCCTTCTGCAACTCAAGCCAAAGGCTTTCCTTTCAATGTACAATAGATCTGTCCAGTTTATTTTCCAACTCGCCCCAAATTTGCTCGATGGGGTTGAGGTCCGGACTTTGAGGGGGCCAGTCCATCCATTTCAATGTTCCAGCAGATTCCTTCCGTAGCAGGTAGTTCCGGCAATAGTTCATTTTATGGGTATTGTAATGGCCAATTTAGCAAAAACAACTGAAACCGCTTAAATATACAATTTTGGCCACCACTGTATAAAGTAAGTAATAATTTTTAATGAATAAATAAATAATCAAAATACACCGTGTACCTGTATGATGTCATGTGCATAATCTTCTGCTCTGTCCCAGCTGCCCAGACGCACCCCACGATCCAGCGGACTCCACCCAGCACACGCCTCGGTTGCAAACAGGAAGTACTCTGGGTAGAGGTGGTGCGTGGTTGTCAGGGTGATGCCAGGTGGCGCAATGTTGTTCAGATACCAGTGAAAACCAATCCCGTGGACGTAACGTGCCGCTTGTACGTCACTCAGAACCTACAACAGGGAAGAGAGGTGGAGAGACAGAGATGAAAGTTTTGCCACCACCCGCATCCTTATGATCATCCTCCCATCCTTCTTTTTGTCCACTCTCCTCACTTACCACTTTGGCCCAGTGTGGAAGCAGAGGTCGGTTGTCATCGAGGATCATAAGGCGGGTCTGGGGAAAGGATGAGGAATGGAGTCCTGGACCCAGATCCAGGGCGATCCAGTCGCGCTGTGTCTCCGGAGTAAAACCCAAAGCCTGAAAACTGTAATTTGTCATTTCGCCTGCAGTGGGCTCGTTTCCTGATGTCAACCCCCAGAAAGAAAGATTATATTTCCCATATTCCTCTAGAAATCTGAATAGGAAAGGTAAAAGGCCTTATTAAAAGGTTAAAAAGGCTGGAAATGTATTTCTTTTGTAGTTAGTTGTAGATAAGATATTGATATTTAAATACAGTTTTAGGTTCCTTTACGCACCTAATGTAGTACTGGGCCCAGGTCTTATGCTCTTTGCCTCCTGGCTTGCCTTTGAGGGAGCCTTTGCCAATCAGTGCACCATTGGTCTTCAGCCAGGCGGGGGCGCTCCAAGCACTGGCAAACAGATTGAGAGGCTGAGCAGAGAGAGCCTGTGCCCGCTGCAGCAGGGGAATCTGGGAGAGAAAGATGACATGAATCAGAGTGTGACATCTGTGGTGTTGTGGTTAGGGGTGCGCGAAATGCATTGTCTACAAAAATATTGTTATTGTTGCTTTAACAATGTGTCAGCAGGTATTGAGTATGTTGCTCACTTTGCAAAAAAATAAACAAAATCGCATCTTGAGAGTCTACACATTTGACTGTGGTGTAGCCTATTAGAATGCACTTAGAATGCCAATGAAAATAGTTCCAAACAAAGCTGGAGCAGCTGTTTGAATCTGTGCACTGATTGAGTGAATGATTCAATGATTATTAATAAAAAAAAGTCACTTGCTTTTTTTCTGAATTAATCAGCCATTATCACTCATTAAAACAAGGACTTGCTGCCATTTATTGACCGTTTTAGCTTCATATTTAAAAATAAAAGTAAATGTTTTAATCATTTCATATTTCAATATCCAACGTTTTGTACAATATATTTTTTATTATTCTATATTGTTTTATTATTCTGTTTGAATTTATTGATTAAATGTAAGAATCTGACATAAGATATACAGGGACATGCCACCTCCAATTTGCAGTTAAAATTTCATATCAATATAATTTTTTTAAATTATTTCATATTTTAAAACACCATAGAGTCTTATAGTACTGAATGAATTTGATTAATCAAAAGAATTTGACATAGAAGATAAATTGCCCTTATAAAGGTAAAAATGCCCCTGAAAATCAAATATTTCCCCTTAATAGAAATGTTAATTTCTGTCAGTTAAAAGTTAATTGTTCTGAACTAACCACTGTGCAGAATATAAAGAATATGAACAACTTTGGGAGTCAACTGTCTACAACAGGCCTAAACCAGCAAAATTCCAGCACAAAAACACACTCAGCTAAGTACTATCTAATTATTGTTATCAACAAAATCCTAAAAAATATCAAGACACAATTTTTTTGGTTTATATCACACACCTGTAACTGTGATGTTGTGTTTTTGTTTGTGTATGATACCTTCATGTGAATATCCTCTTCAGCCAGGGTGAAGTTCTGGAGATCGTAGTCTTCTGGAGTGTCAGCGTACGTGTAGAGGCGAGTTGAGAAATCACAACTGGCCATCGGCACTCTCACGAAACGGTACTCTATACCTGTGACAGACAGGGATGTGCACCATTCAGAACTCAGACTGCTGAACCTATTTTCTTTTCTGTTTCCAAATCTCTGTCCCGCTCACCATCCGGGGAGAAGTACTGTCTGAGCAGCTGGTCCTGAGCTCCGGAGGACAGGGACAGAATATTCATAGCTGCTGCATCTGTCATGGCTCCCCCGAATCCTTTAATGCGCTGATACTTCTGACTGGGATTCAGAGTGATTCTGAGAGCTGAGATTGAGGAGATAGAAAGAGAGGGGTCCAGGTATGGAAGCATATAGGTAGCAATATTCATTTTGAAATGTAATATGTAAAATGGCAATGTATTTCTGTATTTAAATTTATATAATGGAAAATGGAAAATGAATATTGCTACTCTTATGCTTCCATATTCAGGGGTTTGACTGGATATTAAATATATATAATTATATATAATACTTCTTTCTCTACTTTTCTTGACCACTTTCCATAAAAGGACTAATGACAAAATGTAAAATTATACAATTTTGATACGATGCCTAAATAAAAATTACACATACTGTACATTAGTGGTCACACGTTTGGAATAATTAAGCTTTTTTTAATGTTTGTGAAAGAAGTCTCATGCTCACTAAGGCTGCATCAAAAAAAGTAAAAAAACAGTAATATTGTGAAATAATATTGCAATTTAAAATAACTGTTTTCTAATTTAATATATATTTAAATGTAATTTATTCATGTGATGGCAAAGCTGAATTTTACTCCAGTCTTCAGTGTCACATGATCCTTCAGAAATCATTCTAATATGCTGATTTGGCACTCAGTTGATATCAAATGTCATTGGTGCTTAATTATACGTAATGCTTCTTATTATCCAATGTTGAAAACAGTTTTTGCTGCTAAATTTTTTTTATTGAAACTGTGATCCTTTTCTCACAATCCTTTCATGTATAAAAAAAACCTAGGTGTTTAAAATATTTGATGAGCTCAATTTATGACTATATCAGTATGTGAAGCCTAAATTAAATTGTTTATCATAAAGCTATGGTGTCTCTTCAGAAGACTTGGGTTAAACCGCTGCATTCATATGGATATGGCCTTTTTAAACTCTTTAAACAGTTCTTTTTGATGCTAAAAAGTTTGGTTGACTTTCAATGGATAGGAAAAAATATCGTAATTTGTGCTGCAAAAGATGAACATAAGTCTTATGGTTTTGTAGTGACATGACTCATGAGGGTGAGTAGGCTATATGATGACAGATTTTCATTTTGGGGAGATAAACTAACCCTTTAAAAAATGTTGACATATTGATATTAGTTGCAGTCTCACCTGCACCTGTGCTGTTCTTCTGGAACTGGCCTTGACTCTTCACGAGTCTGCTGCCAGTTTTACTGCTGACATATGACAAGAACTGACCGGGATCTGGCAACCCAGTCCTGCCCACCGAGTCGCAGTATGTCGCATTGCACACACACACAACCGAACCATGACCGAAATTCAGTGCTTGACAGTCGTCAGCTGGACATATGAACAAACAAGCAGACAGATACAAATAAAACAGCAGGTCAACATATCTCCCATATTATTTATCTGATTACACACCTCTTGCTATAGTGATTACTCCAGTCAGCAGAATGAAAAGAAGCGTTTCTCTCATTCTGTCGATGAGATGCTGTGGAGATTTTTGTTGCATGTAAACAACGCTCTGTCAAATATTAAACGCGCTCCCACAACTTATTCCTAGCAGACAAACGCTTATTTGTATTTAACGTTTATCCGACGCTTGAAAACGGAAATATTATAATCATTACTGTCCTCTAAATGTTGTTTTAAAGAACCATTTTAATCTTCGGCATACAGTTTCTGGACCGTCAACAGTCAACCACGCACCGTGCGACTGAGTTCCGCGTGAGACTGCGATCACATGACCACCTCATTCACCACATGACATCCAACAACAATGTTTTTTTAAAGATAAATGGTTTTATCAAGTCAGTTCAAAAATCAAATCATACCTTTAAAAAAAAAAGGCAGCACACATTTTCCAAGTTTTTTTCTAAATGATTTTATTATGAAAAAAGCTGCATGTTTATACTTTTATTGAAGTCACATGGTATACAGATGCAAGAGTAAGCAAATGTGCATTACAAGAAGGCACACAATCGTTCCAGGATGGACGGGTTTTTGTTGCTGAGAAAGATAAGCTCTTTCTTTCCTTCTTCAGATCGACCTGTTGGTAAAATATAAATAATAAAAATGGGTATCTAGTAACATATGCATGAAAGGTTATTCTGCCTTCAAGAACAAACTGTATTCTGTATTTTTCCTATTCTTTGTAGTACTGTACTTCTATAGTACTGTATTTACTCAGTTATTTACCTATTCATTTTTTATTCATTTAATTTTAATTATTTTTTTTCTCTAAACATTTCCATAGACACCCTAGCACCTTCTTTGCCCCTGGCTTCCATTTGATCCAAAATCACTTGAATGGACATCAAATAATTATGAATGGTAAACTTGTAAACAGGAACTTCCTACATTTTATATGGCCTCATAATTCTCTTTACACACAGCACTGCTGATTGCCACTGCTCAGACTCCAGGCAAATAAATGCACAAACTTACCGTGTGGATGCTGCAGCCAATTGCGCTCTAAATAGTACAGATAACAGCTCTCAAACTCCTTCTCATTGTAGTTGGACACAGAAACTGGCACAAAAGGTTCCATATTATCAAACCCCTCCTGAAAGACAGAAGACATAAACAAAATAAGAGTTAGAAAGAGAAAGAGTGCAAATATATTGAGCCTTTTTAACAAATCTATACAACACACACAACAGATCATATCAGGTGCCTCTTTATTTTGCTAATTCTTCAAAGTCTATTGTAGGGTGGCCATACGTGCCATTTTCCCAGGACGCGTCCTGGCCAGGATTTCTATATTGCCTAAAATCTAGGTTTTGGCTTTGTTTGCGTGTGCAGACCGATCGGTGTATGACATCAAAATACCATACAGACGGTTCCTTATGCTTTCAAAATGCTCTCGAGGTACTTTGATGTCAAACACTGATCGATGTGAGCCGCGCTGCTTTTAAGTCGAACACACATCCTATGTACGCGTAATTGCATCGCTTTGACCGTAGATCCTACCTTCTCACACACACCATGATTGGTCCATTTTGTACAATGCCTGCATGTTATTGGTCAAACTTGAAAACAGCAAGCATGAAAACAGGAAAAAACTAAGCCAAAACAAATCCTGGCAAGGACGCATCCTGGGAAAATGGCACGTATGGTCACCCTAGTCTATTGTCAATGTAAAAAGGAAAACTAAACTGTTAACTTAAGGCATTTACTACGGTGGCCGACAAGTGCAAAACAAATCACAATTCTGAAAACAAAATAACAAACTACAAACGCAAATGCAAGTCTAAAAAACAAAGTAACAATTCAGAAAATACAACAACAATTCAGAAAACATTATAACAAGTCAGAAAACACAATGACAAATTCGAAAACAAAATAACAAGTCAGAAAACACAACGACATTACTCTGTAGTTTAATGAAAACAGACATGATGTGATTGTTTTGTGTGTGAGGGCTGCTGACCTCTCCTAGTAGCTCACTGGGAAGGTAAGCAGACTGTGGCTTGAACAGAGAGCCGGTCTGAGACAAAGCTGTGAGAATGGCACCTCCACTCTATGACAGAGAGCAATGTGAAGTAAAGAGAGAGTGAACAACTCACTGGGATTCAAATCTGTATTATAATATTAAAGGAATAGTTTACCCAAAAATACAAATTTGCTGAAAATGTACTCACCCTCAGGGCATCCAAGATGTAGACGCGTTTGTTTCTTCATTGCAGATTTGGAGAAATTTAGCATTACATCACTTGCTCACCAGTGGATCCTCTGCAGTGAATGGGTGCCGCCAGAATGAGTCCAAACAGCTGAGAAAAACACTGCAATAATTCACACGACTCCAGTCCATCAATAAATGTCTTATGCAGTGAAAAGCTGCATGTTTGTAAGAAACAAATCCCTCATAAACTGTCGCTTATGGCTAAAATACCAGTCCAAAATTTATATTAATGCTTCACCCAGTTTTATCCTTCCCCGTTATCGTCTCAATTTTTTAAAAACTGTTTTGGACTGTTTTTGTTTAATGGTACTTTGCTTTTGCAAATTCTGTTTTCATTCAAATGGTAAACTGTACTTCTGCATATTTCTCTCCTGATTCAGATGAGATTACTTTTTCACTGAAGAAAGCAATATTATGGATAGAGGACTCATATTTTTGCTGGAGGCAACAGTCAAGGTAAAAATGTCTTGATGATATTTTTGTTTATTACAAACGAAGCTTTTCTCTTCACAAGATGTAAATTAATGTACTGGAGTTGTGTCGATTAATGGATTGTTTTATCAGATGAACTCTTATCATGGCGGCACCCATTCACTGCAGAGGATCCATTAGTGAGCAAGTGATGTAATGCTAAATATCTCCAAATCAGTTTCAATATGAAAAAACTCATCTACATCTTGAGCAGACTGAGGGTGAGTACATTTTTAGCAAATTTGAACTATTCCTTCAAGAGTTTTTTTTTTTTACCCAATTGTTTTTCATCATCTTCCTCAGATTATGAATCAAAGTCAGTTCCTCTGGCTCACACTACATAAAAAGGAAAAGAAAGCAGGATGTCAAACAAATGCACAAATTATTTTATCAGAGTACTAGAATTATTTAATGATTTCATTTAAAATATTTTTGAATTCATATTCATTTATTCTGGCTAATTTACACCAACATACCATAGTTCTGTCCTCCTTTTTAAGAGATGTTTTGCCCCACAGAGCATTTACTCCATCCACAGCCACAGCCAGTTTAAAGGCCCCCTCGCCCTCTGTGGCGCCCCCTGCCTGCAGCCTCAGCTCTCGCAGCACTGCGCCCACCACATCACTGCTGCTCTTCATGCGATTCACACCCTGTTCAATTTAAGTTAAATGATTAAAAATACAATCAACATTTATTCAAATTAAAAAAATATAATTTATATATACTGAAAACTAAAATAAAAGAACAAGGTGATGAATAAAACTACAAAAATGATTATGAGAAGTTAAGCCGGGCACACACTGTGCGAATTTTAATAGTCCTTTACAATTTTTGCTTGTCAGACTGTAGAATCTCAGTTCTCAGTCATTTATGTCAGACTGTACGGCAGTCAGGACGCGTTAAAAACGGGTGTGCGCAAGAAAACTTGTCCGGAGGTTTACATTATCAACCCATACACGTTCAGTGACTGCGAGCTGCATTGCACGCGGGGCTGTAATGTTGGCTATCATTACAAATATATTATGAATGGCAGCAATAGTGGCGTATTTAATAAGAATAGTGTAAGCAGCACTACACACCCACATGAAAACAGTGGCGCAACCAGTGTTTATCATAGCAAAGGCAACATATCATATGAATTCGGTGAGCGGAGGATGGGAGCGCCAGGAGTTTATGGCAGTTAGAAGAAATCTCTAGCATTAATTCTGATTATGGCTTATCTTGATAAACGAACACAGTTTGACGTTTGTCATAGGAGAAAGCACACTGCTGGACTGTGCGCCAAATCTTCTGACACTGCCAGAAATTCGTCGGAGGTAAAATTTGATCGCAACGGCCATTAATCGGCTGTCAGTGAACATGTCAAACCAGCGATCAAAGACTACAGATTTTAGCCTAGGATTATAGGATTTTTTTAGGATTTTCAAAATTTGTCTCAGACGACCAAATTGTGGCCAAAATCACACAGTGTGAGCTGTGCTTTAGGCAAGTTAGAATATAGTCACTTTGAGGTAGTGTAATGGGGGAGTAGTGTAATGTTTACTATGATAAAGATGATGAATAAAACTCACCTGATCAACAAGCACCCCTAAAGGCTGCCCCTTTTCAGTACTTTCTCTCTTTGTCCACACATACTGTTGTGTTGTCTTTATCTGTCAATTGATCAGATTGACATCAGAACAGCTTAATAAATTATTAAATTGACCAAAATAATCAGTAAGTGATAAATAAAAAACATTAAATAACATCTCCTCACATACACAAAAATGGAGCTAGTGGAGGTATATATTGTGAAATTTTAATTTCTACAGTTTTACAATTTTAAAATATTTTTAGACAACTTAAGCAAATATATTTAGTAAAAAAATAAATCAATAAATAAATCAATAAAATAAATTTAAAAAATGAATAAATATTCATTTATGTGGGCAAAACAATGTGATAAGGTGATTTACGCACAAAAAACTACCACTTGCATACATAAACTCGCGTAAACCCTACAATACAATAAACACATCAAGTTGTACCTTGGATAAAAAGCCTTCATTGGTGATTTTGAAGTTCTTCAGCCATTGGGATGCCTGGATTGGCTGGTCGAAGCGTGAGGGCCGGGAAGAAGATGGTAGCAGCTCTTTGCAGTTCTTGACCCACAGATGAGCTACAGAGAAAACATCATAGCATCATCAGACTCCAAACTTCATATAACCTTACATTTTGATAGAATGAGTGTCAGTGCAGCTCACCATCGGGTATGTGCACGATCAGCCAGCCCTGAGTGTAACAGTAGTGCAGGGCATGACTCAAAGACATGGACTTTCCAGTGCCTATATCTCCATCTAAAGCACATTGTCAAGGAATCAGTGTGGAAAAATATGCACAAAGTAAAACAGCTCACTGGATTGGAATTTTGTGTTTGAGGATACAGAGTATATAACGCAGCGGAGGCTTGCTGTAATCAGCCTTTTTAAGATATGAGATAAGCTCCAGCACCGGTGGCCTCACCATCACGCAGCCTTCATTAAACGTTTTCATCTGAAACAAGAGCACAAACATGCATTAGTCGTCCAGGCAACTTCAACCAC